TCTGAAATTAAATTCAATTCCAATTTGAGGCTAAATACATTAATCATTAAGTAATGAATAACATCGAAACTTTCGTTATTGCCACCTACATATATGTACATAAATATGTGCATGACTACCTACATATGTATGTATGTACATATGTATATATGTTTGCACATACATATTTATTTACTTATATAATACATATGTACATAAGTCATATACTATAGCATAAATGAAAAAGAGTAATTTGTTTGCTAAAATGTATATGTAATTATTTAATTTTGTTTTTGTGTTTACCTTTTTTCTCTTGTTTTGATTTCCAGCACAACATGGCCATCTTTCCAGCGGTTTACATCCCGCACATGCGCATATGCATGGCGGCTGGTATGCCGGCGGCATGGGCGCTTTGGGTGCTTCTAGTGGCCTACAGGGCGGCTTCTCAACGGCGGGTTCACTGGGTGGCGGTGTGGTGCCACATTCGCAGCCATATCATCTTGGTTTGGGTTCGATGGTAAGTTAAAAGAGAATTTCAATATTCTGTTTTGTTTTCTACTTCAAATAAGAGCGAGCTCGAAGAGAGTAGTGATACATATTAGTAAAGGAAAAGATGAAAGTGAAAAAAGCGTATACAAAAATTCGTTAAATAAGTAATGAAAACTTCATTTTAAAAATTTTAATTTTTGTATGTATGTACTATGTATATTTATATGATTAATCACCAAAAAGTAAATAAACAATGCCCGATTCGATACGCCTTTACTGTTTATTGCACAGCAATCACTGAGACTGGTTTATTCGCTCTTATTAGATAATACGAGGGCTGCCTGTTAAGTTCTGCGCTAAGGCTACATTACCCATTGTTATATACATTTTCACAGCTCTATTCTATTATTTGACTTTTGATGAAATTTAACGATTCTCAAAGTGAATTCTTCGTTAACTTTAATCCTAAGCGGCGCATAGGGACGGTGACCAGATTTCTGTGGGCAAAAATATGGATATTTCTATATAATTTCGTCGAAAAAGGCTGTTGCCAGCTCTCAAGAAATACGAGAAATTCATATAAAAGGACACATAGAAATCAAAAATAATTATTTTAAATTATTCCATTCAGCTTTCTTAAACCAGTTGGCATCTCTCAAGAAAAAAAATGCTCGTATATTTATTTCTTCAAGAAAGTTTACAGCAAGAGGTAAGTGCTTTTTCAAGCAACTGAAATGATGAAAAATTATTTCTCTTGAGTGCTGGATTCTAAGCTAAATAAGCTAAAGAATAAAAGGACATATGTATATTAAATGTTTTACTGCATTTTTTTCTTGTCAAGACGTAAATATAGCTGTGAAAATACTATGTTGGGGACATCACTACAACTTTTTATAACTTCACTAATTTTAAGCTAATGTTAGAGACGTTTTTTAAAGCAAAAAACCGCATCATCAAGAACAATTATAAAATCCCAACAAAAAACCTAATTTCTTATTTTTCCTTTCCGTGATTTCTTTTTCAGAGGCTTTAAGCTTTACATAGGTGGCATAGGTGGTAGAGATAAATACACACTAAAAGTCTGCCATAATATCAGATTCACAGAATACAAGATAAGAAAAGATCATAGAGAATAGGGCAGCTCATCCGTTTACCGAATAGGTTTCAGTTTAATGTTGGCCGTTAACAACGTACTTTTTTCCTTCTATTAAATCTACAACGAAACCCCTGAAAATCGGTGCAAAAGTGAAAAATCAATACACTTATAGTACGTCCCGATTCAAAAAATATACGTTGGTACAACTTTCTTAAAATTGGCACAGTCCCGCTGAAATCGGTACGACTATTCACCGTAGACTTAGGGCATCTACTACGTCTGCGCGTCATCTAGAGGTTCTATTTCTGTCAATCGCTTTAAGCTCCTTTCATCTTAACCCTGCTTTCGCCGATTATTCGATTTCATTCCAAGGCCTTCTTTGCCATGCTGTCGTCTCCTTTGCGCAAAGAGCGGGCTATCCACTTCCATTTCTGTGTCCGAATCCAAATGCAATGAAGCTTCATGTTAGGTTTACCGCGCAACTCCTGATTTGAAATTGTTTTAGGCCAAAAAAATTCAGAGCATTGTTCTTAGAAAATTTTCGGATTCCTGGTTATTCCAGTAGTGACTATCCAGTTGGAACTGCCAAACAGCATTATCGCGAGCACATTCGCTTTGAAAAGTCTAATCTTTAAGCTGGAACTCAGATTGCTGTTTCGCCATAATGTGTACGTCATACCAAAAGCTTCCGTGGCTTTACTTCATCAGTGCAACTTCGCTGTCAAGGTATATATTTATGTAAGTAAAATTCCTCACCGTCTCAAGTGTTTGGTTATAGAATACCACGTTATCACAAGTTTATTTTCGGGCCTGCTGCCTTAACTTCTCGCAAATAGGATGCGTCAAAAGGCATATGCCGTCAGTGCAGTGAACTGGGCATGGACCACCGAAGCCCCTGACAGGGAAGTGGCACCACACTGAGTTACATCAACTAAATATGTTTCTCTCATCACTTGTTCTCGAAAAAACCAAAATTTTCCGATATCTCGAAAAGTGTTGTACTTTCTTATATTCGAATCAGCGGAACATTTTACAAAGGCAATGATGGTCATGTTGATGAAGTTCCACCAATCAGATTTCTTGTAAACTAGTGTTATTGGATTTGTGGGTATTTGAAATCAGCTTTGACACCAGCATAATATACATGACCTTTGAAAAAGATTAACCAAATTTCTAAATTGCCGCGTGGCTCGATTTATTGCCATTTTTGACAACGGTGCATCTTCTGAATATCAAAACATTTCGATATTTGATGCCGGTGGCTGTAAAGCTTGCCTCATGTGTATTAAGCCTTATGATCACATTGGAAAATATTTTGAAAGCAAAATCATTTTCACTGATTAATTACTCTCTTTGTTTTCCAATGCAAGGCGCAAGACTTAAAAGGCAGCCCTCGTTTTTTCCGTCTTGGTAGTGACTACGTATTTTATTCCACGTTGATTTTCTCTCATGTAGACGTACATATTTTCTTTATCTAGTTGCAACCTTCGGCATCTAAGAAATCGGGCTCTCTTTTGTTTACCGCTCAATACTTTTGACTCGTTTTTTTTACTCTTCATTTTTACTACAGTTAAATTATTTAAAAAATCATACTTATTCACACATTTCCTTCTTTCTTCATATTGTCCATAGGGCACCTGGCGGACGGACTACACGTGATGGAGCGGGAATAATTTGAATAATAATTTTTTCAACTGAAAGTAAACAAGGCAAAGCATTTGCAAAAAAATAGAAGCAATAAACACGCAACAAGCTAAGCGCTTTGCTGAAGAACGTAACCAGAAAAA